GGCCCCGCTCCGCTGTACTGAGGGGCGGCGGTGCGGTGTGGGCCGCCCGGCAGCCCTGCCGCCTGCTCACCTGGAAGCAAGGAGGGTGCCCTGTGGGTGCTGGGGTGTGGTGCGGGGCCACGGCCTGCTGTCCCTGCCGTGCGCGGTGTCGGGGCTAGCACCGGGTCCCTGTCGGAGAGCCAGTAGCTATGACTGTTACTCTGAAATCTCGGTCTTTTAGGGCTCTTCTCCTGATCCATAAAAGGGTACATTTCAGCATCTTCATTTAGCCATCCAAGTTTTTGTTTGTTGGAGGGAAGTCAAGAAATAATCGTTATATGTAATGAGCAAGTAAAGGGAACTCCGCCAAATCGAGATAAAGTTTCTGGCCAAGAATAATGTGCTGCTTATATGAAAGGTTATCAGTCCGCAGAAGAGAATGTGTTTGATGTTATTTGAGCTTGTCATAAACATGGTCTTTATTAACCTATAATATATATTGTCTGTGTCCCTTTAATTCTATTACACCGCCACCTAAAATGTCTTTAGTAAAGTTTTACACACTGCTTATCACAGTTACCACAGTTGTTTCAGTATCTGCTGCCATTTTTTGCACGATCTGTTTCCAGTTTCCCATACTGTCACTAACTGCTGCCTCTTTGGAGTGTAATGTACTTGCTTAACTTCATGGAGCAAGTACCTAATCCATTTAAAAATCAATGCTACTTACATTTTTATACTGTTTAAATCCATTTTGGGGGGTAAGCAATGGTGTAACTGTGTTGCATCAAGTCAGGTTGTGAATCTGAACTAGTAATAGACAAATAAGACTATTTTAATAACCAGATAACTTTTGGTCAACAGCAAAGGTGAGTTGGAGGTGTGGGAGAGCTGGGTATGACTTGCAGCCGACGTTCTGACAAGTTCAACTTTTTGCTGAATTTTGAGGAGGCTAGTTGTATTCATTGGGAATGTAGGAATATGGTATTTATAACTGCTGTCTCCCTGTGTTCCTTGTATTTACCAGAAATATTTTGTGTAATACATCATAGGAGTGCGTTTGTTGGTTTTGTAGCTTCATCAAAATAGGTGCTTGTAGCAGTTGTTGTTCTGAGCCTGCAGATTGGTAATGGTAGCAGGGTTGCCTGAGCCACATAAATGCACCTTGTCTTCCATCTCCTCTTGTGACATCTCTCCTTCTGTTTCAGTGACCCAGTTGCTTGTGTAGCTATGTGCTCTTTTAGATTGGGGAATTGTTAGGTTGTTTTTGGTTTTGTTTTTTTTTTTAAAACAACATGGCAGGAAAACAGAGGGGCTGATGCAGAGTTGATAACAAACTGGTTTTGACAGTGAGGGTTGGGAAGAGGAAGGGTTTTATGCCAGAATTGTTGTCTTAAGAAATATGCATGGAATGTCATCCTGAGATTGACTAATACCGTATTTCCAAACTGTAAGACCTGAGCTTGTAGCAGAAACTCACTTTAGTTTCAAGTTTGTGAAACTTGTGGTTTGTATTGTTATATTCGATGATGTTTCTATGCTGCAGTTCTTGGATTCATCTGTTTCTTTTCTTACAGCACGCTAGTCCTCTTCTATTAGTGATGTTCCCAACTTGCCTAAAAAAAATTGATAGTTTTTTGGCATGTATGCGTTAGGGTCATTAATTAAAGCTTTAGGTAATAGACTAAGGGAATTTCTCTAATAACTTCTCTTCAGCTTAGTTTTTGTTTTCAATGCAGATTTTTTTTTTTAATTGGTCTTTCCAGTCTGTTGTTCTGAATCTTCCAGTTCTTGTACTTACCTCCATTTCCATTTGAATTAGTGCTTTCCTATGTACACTAATGTGCTGTAATAAATGAGATAAGCTGTATTTTCTTAGCATAAATGTCAGCTACCTAGTTAATGTTACATTTTGTCATGCTTTTATTCCAAAGCCTTACATACAGCTGAAACCAGACTAATGGGTCTGTTGTTAACAAAGTAATTTTTTTTTTCTTTAATATGGACATAGCTTCATCCTCCAGTGATGCTTATTAAAAATCCTGGCTACCTGCTTTACAGTTTTGTTTTCTAGTTCATTACTTGACATTGAGGTGATTTTAGATTGTCTTTCCAATTCAGTCAGTTTAGCTTAACTTTTGCTCCTGGTTCAGGTCCAGTAGTTTCCATTTCTGTCTGTGGCTGGGAGAGTTTTACCCCTGTGTTCTGTACAGTTGTTGCTGGAAGCTGAGGCAAAACGCTAGGTTGGCTTTGAGGGCCTACATATAGAGTATCTTGACTTTGTCCTCACTGCTGTCATGTCCCATTCGCTGTTTTTTCTCTATCTTATTCATATTCCAGTTGCTTCTGCAAAGTCCATCTTACTTTCCACAAGTCCATATTTTGTCCCTATATGTGCTGCCTTTGGTGGTATTTCTTTCTTTACTTTGATTAAGCTCTCTCTTCTTTTAGGCGCTGTCCTTTACTATTTGTAAAGGAGCTTCATTTGGGTTTAGAGGCCTTCCCACGTGGGTCTTTGTTTTGCCTGTGCTTGTGATGCAAGTGCCAGGTAGTTTTTTGTGCATTTGACACAGATAACAGATACAGTTCTTGATCTTCTTGCTCCACTTAACTGACAGCATACTTTAGTTGCTTAGTTTGCTGATAGAGAAGTAATTTTCCATTCAGCTCTTTCAATGGAACCTGCGTTCCCTTTTTCCATCTTCAAGGTCAATTGTATTTAATCCTTCTTGAGCTAAGAGCCACTGAGATTAAATTTTGTTGATGTTTAATGGTTTCTGAACTAAGAATGCATTATTAAACTATGTTGTCCTTATATATGTAAACAAGATTTATTTTCTTCCTTACTTAAGCTTCCTTTTAAAAGGTATTCTAATACAGATTTCTTACACAGATTTCACCGTTTTCTTGATGTGAACAGTCACAAAGTAGAGAGGACTATAGAAGGGTAAGTTTTATGCTTATGGATTAATACTGGATTAGTTACCTTTTTTCTGAAGCATTTTTGATACTATTTTTGTTATTAGAATACATGAAAAACTGATAGTTCATTCTGACCTTGGAAAAGCTGCAAGCTGGAAAAGACTAACAGAAAAATTTCTGAACTCGCCACTCCCAAGTATTGAAGAAACAAAGGTGCGTATGTTGCAATTTCCTTGTTCTTTTTGTCCAGCTCTCTTGCATTTGTACTGACAATGGGGACTTCAGCTGTAATGTTGTGTCGGAAATTTCGGATTACTTAGCAGTGAGGTTTGCGGTTGCTGTTCAGGTTAAGGATTTTCAAGGTCTTATTCTTTAGTTTCCTCATTTATTTTAGAAATGTGTTTATTGTCTTGTTGGGGTTTCCACATGCGCAGTTTCATGACTTAAAGGACATCATCTCATTGCAGAGCAGATGTTTTATGGTCAGCATTGTACAGATGCTGTAGCTAGAATCTGGATTCCCGTCTGTTCTAAAACAACAGTGAACTGAGCAGTTCTTACTCTTTGCCCAATTTTTTTTACCTTAAGTAATGTGTCTGGACGTTTTGATTTCAGTATTTCCAAATGTAGTGCTCCTGCCCTGTAGCTTCCTTATTGAGGAAACATATGTGTATGTTTCACCTTTGATGCACTTTGTATGAAGTCCATTTAGGATACGGACTGGATGGATACGGCAGAAGTCTCACTTGGACACTTTCCAGTGTGGTAATTTAATAATGAATTTGATCTTTGAAAGCGGAAAGTTCCTGCTATTGGGAAATTTAAGCTTGTGACACAAGAGGTGGTACTCTGTATGGTGATATTCTTTGATAGATAAGAATAGAAGAATAAGAAAAGAAGCAGTGTGTTCTGAGCTGTAGTCTGACTTTACTTCATATTGAACTGACGTTTACCTTTCTTTGCTCTGTTTTAGGTTTTCCCTAATTTGGGGGGAAAACCTGGAACCCTCAATAGCTTACATGTATGTTCAGTTACTAGACTGTACTCTTCAGATTTTTGAAGAAGTACCTTTAGTTGTGCTTGTTTTGAGAGTTGACTAAAATTAAAAACAAACCGACCCAAACAAAAGCTCAAGCAAACACTTGAATGTTGTGAGTATCCTAAGACTTGAAAGAGCTTCCTCATCCTCCTGCCCTGGCCTTTTGAAAATGCAATTGGGGTATAGCTGGAGATACACAATATCTCATACTTGGGAAGTTAAACTGCATTTAATTTTTAGTAGTGGCACTTAGCTGGGAAGGTTGAGTATTTAACAATTTTATGACTGGTAAGGGAAACACTAGCTTGCATGTGTGATTTTGTCAACAGCCTTCTGGTGTTCCTTGACAGACTCCTGTAGAGTCAGTAACGTTCAGTAGGAACATGCTGTATTCCGTATATACTCGATGAGTATGATGCCGCTTTATCAGAAATTTGAGATTTTATTTTTTTTTTAAATACAAGTGGATCTCATTCCCAGACAGCTTTGTAAGCGTGTATATCTATGTGCCAAAGTATACAGGATGTAGGTAGCAGAATCTTCATGTGTCGGATATGAAATGGTCTGCTGAAGAACTTTGGAAAGTTAGAATCAGGCCAAAGAAAAGTCTTTCTTAACTAAGAAATGGTTGTACTGTAAACAGATATTAGGGAATAGACCACAACACAGATTTTGGCAGCATACCAGTGTTGGCACAGTATTCTAACCTGGTTGGAAGCCTCTTGTTTCACAACCACATTAGTGCAATATTGGAGGTAAAGATGCATCCTTAATGCTTTGTGTTGTGTAGATTTTCAGATGAAGGAAGGAAGGTAATGTGAACGTGATCTTAAAATATAGGGAATTTGGCAAAGTGTTTTAGCTAACTTCATTTTAGCCTCTGTTTGAAATAATCAACCGTACCCATAAGGGAACTAAGACTTGGTTTCCTGCAGGCCCATTACCTGTGTCCTTCTGCCTCATCCACATTAACGTAGCTGTCCGTTATCCCTTGTCCTCCAGTGACTTCTTACTTCCAGAGTTCCTCTTAGCTCTTTTCCGTATTCCCAGACTATCAGCTCAGTAAGAGGGAGTTTATGATGCTGTGGTTACTTTTGGAGTATTTATATGTTGATTGGCTAATTAGGAGGTAAAAGAGAACAAATAACTTTCAGTATCATGTTGCAGATGTTCTTTTTGTAGTTCAAGACTGGGGAATGGGGGCTGATGGGGAGCGTTCGTGCAGATAGTAGGCTGAGTTTGTTCCTAACTGAAGTCTTTTAGACTACTTATTGACTCGCTTTTTTTAATGTGTTTTAAAGACAGATACACACTATTCCATACTGTCTCTTCTGTTGTGTTTGTCTGATTCTCCATCCAACACCACCTATGTGGAAAAACCAAGAGACAAAGAAGTGGGTAAGTTTTCATGATGTTTATGTTGCTAATAGAATCCATTAACACAATCTCATGAGAAGGATGTTTTCCTCTCCATTTTATCTCCTTCACTTCAAGGTGCTTTATTGATTGTCTTTTTGTGGTTTATACCTTTAAAATAGCCTGCAACTCCTTCATACCCCCATTTATGTCACATCACCTAATTAAGTTTTCCAGCCACCAAAGTACCTTGGGAGCTGTCTTTGACTTGTACCGCTATCTCTTACTAACATTCTCCACTTGTTCAGCAATGCTTCTGTGCTCAAAGGCAGACAACGGGGTTCCGTCCTCAGTCTGTGTCTTGCACTTCAATAGGAGGACTGCTGAAACAGCTGTGGTGATGTAAATTCCTATGTTCCCTGTGTAGTCAAGGAAAGGGAGATACTTTTGAAGGTTTCTGGAGGGAGATCCCATCTGCCTGCTTTCTAAAGTAGGACTGTTTTCACTCAGGGCCTAAAAATGAGGCTTGTGCTTAAGTTTGAGTGGATGCCATCCCCCATTTGTTTACAGTGTTGTATCATAGACTGAAAGAAGAATATTTCAGACTAACCTAAAGAAAATCTTGCATCTTAAGATTCCTTTTTGAATGATCTCTGCACATTCCCTCGGCGGTGTTTTGAATGCACTTTCAGCCCATTCCAGGAATGTGAATATGAAGAGGTTATCTCAAACAACACTAATTACAGTTGAGTAAGCTTCATGTTTAAGATATAATATATTGTAAGTGTGATTTGTTATTTTTAAAGTATTACACATCACTTCATGGCTATGTGGTGTCTTTTTTGGAGAGTAAGAGAGTTCTTGCTTTATGTTGTTTACAGTCCAGGATCCTTGTGCATATGTAAATTAATACGTTTAGAATGTTTCCACCAAGCTAAGTGGGACTAGTGACAATAAGTGATATGTTGCATTCTTGCATGTTTTTCCAGGATTGAAGTGTAGGGTAGTGTAACCTAGTACAGATAAATGTGCTGATGGCACACTGTTGTGTATTTTGAGTGTATGAGCAGCAAAATTGAGAATTAATAAATAAGCAATGTACATGGTTGATACGTCACAATTTACGTGTCTGAAAGTGTTAAAGAAACAGTGGTGTAACCTTAAGTGGAAGGGAATGCCTTTTGGTTTAGATTTAGAGTAACAACGTAATTTTAGCTTTGGAAATGCTTTTAGAGGAAAAGGAAGTCAGTTATATGGTATTTACTATTTTTATGTTTGTACTTCTCTTAGAAAAGGAAGAAGAATTTGATTGGGGAAAGTATTTGATGGAAGGAGAAGAAATCTACTTTGGCCCAGGCATTGATACACCAGTAAGTAATTTCTTAAGGTAAAAAGACCAACTGTTTAAACTGGTTTGAAGCATGTGAGAGAGACGATTTGTATGCTCTGTATGATTCTCACAGGATTACTGGTTTGTCACTTCTTACTTGATAGCAAGAAATACACACAGACCCAAGCAGAGTAATAGTAAAACCAGTGCTTTTGTTCTTCATGGTATTTTGACTTAAGCTTGCAACTAAACTGGTTCCTTCTGCTGACCCCAGCCTGCTCCTAATCAGAACTGGTTGTTCTCTGATCTTCTCCAATTCTCTCATTTGTCTGCTTATTAATGTTATGTATAACTTATAAGTGTCTGCCACAGACTGTTTTGTTAGTCTTAGTGTCCTGAATTTACTTTATGGTGGCAGAAAGAAGAGTTTATGTTCGGCTTCTCGGGTCAATAGGAAGTGAATATAGATCTGTCTGTCATGTACTGAAACGTACTGGGTTTTGTTGCACTTAATAGGATTGGTCTGGAGAAAGTGAAGAGGAGGAAGACGCTCAGCCTTTAAGCAGGGAGGACTCGGGTATTCAAGTGGACAGGACACCTTTAGAAGACCAAGATCCAAATAAGAAAACAGTACCTAATGTTTCCTGGAAAGGTTAGAATAAGCTCTAATTCTTCTGATATGGTCATACATACTCAAATGTAGCAAGCTAATGTGGCTTGCTTTGTTATTTTTTAGTGAGGTGTTATGTTTTAGACTTGTAGTTTTAAGGTGCACGTTATTGTTCACTACTGCTTGTTTTATTTTTAACAGTAAAAAAGTAGTAAGGAAGGTTTGATCTGGTTTGTGTTGATGCTGATGGAGTAGACTTCTGTTTATTTCTGTAGAAGTTCACATGGATATTCCAATATAGACATGAAAACTTAGACAGTAAATGTAGCATGTAGTTGTATGGGTATAATGTAAATTTTTTATTATTGAGTATCAGAATGCTGAAACAAAATTTGGTTGACAACAGAAACATTGTGACTCCGTTTTGGGTATGAAGCATTTTTGAAAAAAAATTTGATGTAATTAAACCACTAGTGGCTTACTCTTGAATAGCTTCAGGGAGTATTAACTCTAGCTGTATATTTTTCCATAGAATATTGTTGTGTACAGGGTACCTTATACCTTGCATAAGAAGACTGTGTAATATTTGTATGTCGTATAAGCAGTAGCCGCCTTAACAGGGGTTAGGTAAAGTTTTCTTGATAATCACATTTCCGTAGAAAACATTTTCAGGTAATATACTAAACGCATAGTAAAAAAGAACATAGTGACAAAGTTGGTGGTATTTGGCAGTTTATTTTTTAAGTCAGCTTGGTTTTGTATATAGCATTTGAGAATTGCCCGAGACAGAAGTATACTTTCCAAGACCTGGAAGACTATGTAAATCTCCAAGTTTGTTTTTTAGGAGATGAAGCATTTCTGTGTAAATTAACTTGTGCATGGTGGTATCATATATCTGAGTGCAGTGAAGTGTAAATAGTTGTAAAATGTAATTTATTTGAAAAGATCTGTGACTCTGCAGCTGAGCGGATAGGCTTATTAATAACCTTTTCCTGTGTTTTATAAGCATTTCCTGAATAAATAAAAATACCTCATGACTGTCATGTTTTCACAGTTGGTGAACCTGATGCCCGCAGCTGGCTGGAGCAGCATGTAGTTCCTCAGTACTGGACAGGAAGAGCTCCTCGCTTTTCACATAGTTTGCACTTGCATTCCAACCTAGCTGCGGTCTGGTAAGAAAACAGTGTCACTTACGTATTCCTTACTTGCATATAATGCTAAATAATGACTTTATTAAACATCTTCGCTGTGGAAGCGTAAAGTTAATATAGTTATTACTGTTTTAGTTAAAAACAGAATTAAAATGGTATGAATTAGTAAGATGAACAAACAAGCTGTTTTTTATATTAATAGATTCTTTTTATTTAGTTTTTATTATGTTTGTCATATCAGAGGGAAGGTTTTCCTTTTTCAAAGAAGCAAATCTAATTGTTGAATTCTGTTTGGGTTGACCCTTATGAAGGTCTCTGAGGAACTGATATAGGTGGGTTGTAAGTGGTCCTGAAAAGCAGGAGTACCCTAAAGCTTAACTCTTTCTTTGCTTTTGGTGCCTCCCTTCAAAGTTAGTCTTAAATACAGTTTTTGTGTGGGGAAGGAACGTAATTAAAAAAATTAAAAATTAAAAAAAAAAAAAAAGGCATCCTGATTCTTCCCTCTGTCCCAAATTCTGATGTATCAGTACTGCAGTAATACAGATTATTAGATTTGTCTTTGGTTCCTTAAGGTAATGAATTTCTTAATCAAGGACTTAAATTTCGTTTAGAGTCAATTGGTTATCTAGCCAGTTACAAACTAAAATTTATAGTGAGTATTAGGAAATCAGTAGAGTAAATAAAGCAACGCTCTTTCTGTTGCCGTGTTATATGTTATATATAGGTATGATACATAACCAGTATTACTTAGTTGGGATTTTTTGATTTGGAACATGATTACATAAATTTTGCCACTGATGATGATATTGAGTCAAAATGCTGCAAATGCAAATAATCCTTCTATGCTTTGCCAAAATATTGAAAATACTCTGGAAGTTTTACAAAGAATTGCAGAATACAAGATGATAAGGGAAAGTTCTTCGGTGGCTGTGAACGTCTCCGTTTCTTAAGTAAACTTTTGACCTAAAGTGTGAATTTTCTTATATGGGTTAGGGAAATTGATATTTTACTTTTTAGCTTAGTATTTTTAACAGAAAGTAGTCCTGTAAGTTTTCACAGCATTGAATGTGAAATAATAAAATAATCAAGGATCAAGAATTTAAAAAGCCAAACAAACGGCAAACCCAAAACAAAACAACAACAACAAAAAATCAAACCACAAAAACCAAACCCACTCAGATTCAGTCCTTCAGGTATTTGCTACTTGATTGCTTGTCTTGTTATGTATGACTAGATGATCTTTGAATGCTTTCCATAGTGTTTTGCTTAACAATATGAAAACAAACTCTGCTTTTGTTTATATACTGAAAATGCCCCCATGAGCATTGAATCTACTCAGATAAAATTAGAACAAAACTGAGCCTTAGGATTATTGCTTCGTTTTTACTTCCAGGTGATTTAGCTGTTATTTCAGCCACTAAACTGTCTTCATTTCGTTTTTTCTAAGGGACCACCACTTGTACACCAGTGATCCTTTGTATGTGCCGGAAGAGAGAACGCTAGTCACTGAAACCCAGGTTATACGGGAAACACTGTGGTAAGAGCAACACCAGAAAAGCTTGTGTTTTATATTTTAGTGTTTCTGTCAAGGAAATGAGAGATTTATCTTTGAAGTTGTGTCTGAAGAAAGAATTAGTACTGAGCTTTTAGCTTGCACCATTTCTGACAATAAAGATGCTGCTTATGTGTGTTAACCATTCAGATTCACGAAGGAGAAAGTAGCTTACTGCTTCTTGTGCGCATTGATTCTTCCAAGCCTGTTAAGAAGAACTTGTTCTTGTCCTGCTCCTGTGGGTTTTTAATAGCGCCCAATTTTAGAAAGTAGGTTTGAGTCATCCTGCAGCTGGAAATTATCTCAACTGGGAAGGAACTTTAGGAGATGCTTACTTGATGCTAGTGTTTTATTGTTCTTGTTCTAGGAACAACTTACAGTGCCAATAGCATCACAGCTGATCTGTGGTCCCCTTTTAGTTGAAGAAAAGGAACCTTTAGGCAAGGGAGAGCTAATTCTTTTATTAAATATATAATTATGAGTCCATTAACTGGGAAAAATTACTACTCTTCTTGTTTCTTTTCAAGGCTACTTTCAGGAGTGAAAAAGCTTTTTATATTTCAGCTGAATGATGGAAAAGTGGCTGTGCGGAATGATATTATTGTAACTCATTTAACCCATGTAAGTTGTTTCTGAATCTTAGCTGAATGTGTCTGTCATTAGGAAGATATAATTTTGGGGAACAGGAAATTAAACTGCTTGTTGAAAAATCACTTTTCCACAATTGTGTTTTGACTAGATTAAGAGCACCTGACTTAATAGAACTGAATGGGCTGCTCTGAAAATGTGATGAAGTGATAGAGGTGGCAGAATTGTGTTATGTTTTAATTCATAGAAATATCTTGTGATTTAATTTTTAGGCTTTATAAAATACTAATTTTTATTAGATGATTCTAAAAAGTTGGGGGTTGGTGTTTTGTTTTTTTTTTCCTAGAACTGCCTGAGATCTGTATTGGAGCAGATAGCGGCATATGGTCAAGTTGTGTTTAGACTACAGAAATTTATTGATGAAGTGATGGGACACAGCCCGGAAAGCATAATGCATGGAACAGTTTCCACTCCAAAGAAAACCACTGAAGCCCCGTTCAGAACCTACCAAGCTTTTATGTGGGCCTTGTATAAATATTTCATTAGCTTTAAAGAAGAACTTACTGAAATTGAAAAATGCATAATCAACAAAGGTACAGTGCAAGGGAAATTTTACAAGAGGAGGGCACACAAGGAAGTTTTAATGAGGGAAACATGAAAAACGTTATGCAGATACATTTTGAAACTGTGAAAGATGCCGTGCTGCTTTTTAAGACCTCATTAATAACACTGACAACATTTGATTTTCTGTTAGATGTTACTTTTGTACAACTTTGATTGTCTGTCGTTTTTTTTTTTTGTTTTGTTTTGTTTTTTTTTTTTACAGATAAAACAGTCACACTTTCAATAGTAATAGATAAGCTGTCTCCCCGACTGGCACAGCTGAAGGTACTTCATAAAGTTTTCAGCACAGGAGTAGCCGAAGTGCCACCTGACACTAGAAATGTTGTACGAGCATCTCATCTGCTTAATACTCTGTACAAAGCTATCCTTGAGTATGACAGTGTTGGAGAAGCATCTGAGCAAACGGTAGGGGAAATCATTCCTTCCTTAATTGAACAACACACTAGAAGATTTAGTAGCTTAAATTCCTTTATGGTGATGGAGTATATGCTAGCCTTCAGCTACCGAGGATTGAGGACAAATTTGGTGGCCATAATGCATTACTGTTTTCTGATGTGAGTTCCCTCAGCCTGGGCAAAATCAGATTTATGAGGAGATCGGCAGCAGTGTGTTTTTAGGACTGAGAGGAGGAACTGTGGGGAATTGGAGGCCGGGAAGCTGTTAAAAAAGAGGGACCTTTGAAATGGCTTTCCCTCCTTCTGTTTCTGGGGCTGCATAATTCAGTTAATGTTGAAATGTGGAGTTTGGTTTTTTTCCCAGTAACTTGTTGATTATACTACTGAAAATATGTCATTATGTCTTTTTTTTGTTTGTTTTCTACGTTATAAAACCACAGAGTGTTTTATGACTATCCGTTACTGCTTAAGAAATGTTAGAGTGGAAAAAAAACTCAACAAAACCACACAACCACAAAACCTGCTGTTTGGGTCTTGACTGTGGTGACAAAAGTAACAAGGGGAAGCCGGCCCAATGCGGGCTTCCATTAAAAGTCCTAAAGCTGTAATTTTTAGTTTAACATTTTATCTTTAAAAATCCTGAAGGGTAGTTAGGTTATAATTGCACAATTAAGAGGTTAAGCTTTGCCATACTGCCATACTGCTTCTAATGTTTAGTATAAAAACATTCAGCCACTTTTTCTTTTCTTCCCGCCCCTCCCCCTTTCCCTTTAAATTCAGGTATCCCTTCTGTTCTCTCTCTGGGTTGAAACTGTGAGGCCATACTTACAGACAGTGGATGAGTGGATAGTCCATGGTAATTTGTTTGATCCTGCAAAGGAATTTATCATTCAGAGGTAGGTATGCTGATACTGGACACACGTAATGCATTGCAAGTATCAATGCAAAACCGGCTGTAGAACCTAGGAAGTAAAGGGTGACAATAAAAGTAGGTTTTCACATTTGTTATTTTACTTAAGTAGAATTAATTTCTTAATTGTACTTTTATAACTTGTCTCAAACTTCCCATTAGGAAAACTGCATTAGATATGGAGCCCTACCAGGTATTGTTCTGGAATACAAATCAATTGTTTTATTCTTTCCATCTATACTAAATAATCAGCAGTCTGACTGAGTGTGTTGACATTTTTAGGAGCAATTAGCCATTTTTCAAACCCAAGATGTTTGCAAAAATTACTAATTTTACTTTTTAATTGTTCTCCTAATCTATAGTTGTTACGAATCAAATGCTATTTACAATTACAATACTCACTGCTTTGGACTTCTAGTATAAGTTAGTAAGGTGTCTTGAATTACATGTGCATATCCTAAACATTACTTGAGCTGTTAATTTTTCTTCTGTTTGTATGCTACATTTTGCTGATCCCTCCTCTGGCAGCCTGAAGTAGAAAGTGAATACAGAAATCAGAATTTGGGCTCATAATTTCAATTCCATTTTCCCCTATCTGCTGAAGTTAATTGAACCTCTGTCTGTTAAGGCAAGTCATGGTGAACCTGAAGTAAGAGAACAGGTCTAGTACTACTGTACTAAAGCCTTAGTAGCTGAGATCTTTAACATCCTTATTATGTCCTACTTCACTTTTCTTTCTGTGGTTCTATAGTTGTGTTTTCAGTGCTACCAACAGGGGTGATTTCAACTCTTATTTCTATTTGTCCTTCATTTTAATTGTCTAATTTGGGTTGTTTTCCATCTGACTTCAAAGACCAAACTGTGTATCTGATGTAAACAATACAAAAAAGCAAAGTGAACTAAGAATTGAGTTTTACCTGCTCTAGAATTTTTCAGCTTTCCCCGTAGTATTTGCTTCATTGTGGGTTTTAAATAAATCTGCAAGTCAGTCACTAATCATTTTATTACTAAGGATGTGTGCCACTGTAAATAGTTAACTTCCTGGACACATTTAATTATAATTACTCTGCCTTCTTGAGGGGGTTTATCTCCTGTGAGCTGATTCTTTATCCTGCTAAAGCTATTGTCTTTTTTAGACCTGTCTAGATAGTCTGTGATGTGAATTAGCTTATTTTATATAGTTTTGAAAGCTTCTTCTCTATTCTAGAAGGGCAAATCATAGAGTAAAGATTATATGCATGTTCTAGTAATGAAGTTTCATCTTTTGAAAAGGGAAATACTGAGCAGCTTTTTATTTCTTCACAGAAACAAAAATGTTCCAGTTAATCACAGAGATTTTTGGTATGCTACCTACACATTATATAGTGTGTCAGAGAAGACAGAGAATGAAGAGAAGATGAGTGATAATGCCAGTGCCAGTTCTGGCAGCGATCAAGCCCCTTCAAGTAGGCAGCACACTATGGTCTCTTTTCTGAAACCTGTGCTAAAGCAAATCATCATGGCTGGAAAATCCATGCAGCTGTTGAAGAATCTTCAATGCAAAGATGGCTCTCCGCAGCAGGCCGCGTCAAGAGGTGAGGTGTCAGTCTGTCAACTATGATGCCTTAGGGTATCTAGCAGTTTGGGTGTACCTTTGTTTGTCTGTTTGGTTTGTTCGTTGTTTTTTTGTTTTTGTTTTTTTTTTTGTAGTGGTTCCACAGTTTTGAAATAATAAAACACTCCCATGTTGAATGTCAATGCCATGGTTGGTAACTTCAGGTCTGATTGAAACCGTTTACTCTTCCAATGCAAACAAGTGACAAGGGAAAAGTGAATAAAGATTGAGAGTTCCCTTTGCTTTCTATTGCTTTAAATTTTTCTTAAATTTGTTTTCATGTGCCTGCAAAACATTACAATTTTTTGGTGGGAGGGTGGAACGAACCCAACAACCCCGAAAGTAGCCTGTACTAATAGTAAAGCTGTTTTGTTTTAGTAAATAGTTGTTTTCCATTAGTAAGTGGTTGAGTAATTCTGAGAACATGTGGAACTTTTTTTTTTTTCTTTAAACAAAAAGCTTCCTAGTAATTAGGTGAAAGATATTTGATTATTTATCTCAAATGATTGTAAAGCAGAGTACAACAGTGTAACCAATATTGGTTTTTGTTGGTTTTTTTTTTTGTTTTTTTTTTTAAGAAAACTAAATATTTTTGTTTTGCTGTTTCTTAATGTTTAGAAGTAGAGATAGTTAAATTATTTTGGAAACTCTCTACCTTTATTTCCCCCTTTGGTGTAAGAATATAATCTATTCTAGTGAATACTGAAGGGTGATTTCATGTGCTAACAATTAACTGCCTTTGCACCTGGAGGAGGAAGTGCTCTAGCAGTTTCAGAAACATTTTGTGTTTCAGACACCCATTCAGCAATCCATCTGAACATATGCCTGACCTTAGGCATTGGACTAGTTGTACCGTTTTAGCAATACTTATTTAAATATGTATTTGGATTTTTTCCTGAAGAGTGGCCTAAATTTAGTATGTTAAAAGTTAGCAAGTAAATGATTGGCTATGGAGTTATTCTTTTGGTTCGGATGATGTTTTCTCTTAGACCAAAATCTTACCTTGGAATGTGTTGCTCGCTGTAGACGCTGAACGAAAGAGTTTGTATACCCTGTTCTTGGAATCGGTGCAGTCTCGCCTGCGGCATGGGGAAGAGTCTGTTCTAGAGACTATTACAGAACAGCAGGCCACGAAGCAGAGCTTGATAAAGATGCAGTCTATAGCAGAAAGACACTTGGAGCTGGATGATGTCCATGACCCACTGCTGGCTATTAATTTTGCCAGGTAAACGAATGATTTTCCTGCTATTGTTGAGAGCAATGTTCTGCCTGGTGACGTTTGGTAGACCAAATTTTTATTGCTGCTACTGCTGAAAACAAGCAGAATAAAGAGGAGCACCAATAATCAGTGATGGAAGATAAGTAAACGCTACCCTTGTGCTTAGTTAAAACCAATTAAAATCTATGAAGAATCTGCTACTCACATCTGTTGTTATGGAAAATGAGAGTAGTCTTTATCACGGCAGGCTTTTAGCAAAAAGTGATTTAATAGCGAATGCTGTTGTAAAATCTAAATTTTTAAATGTCTCTGCTTGGAATTTGTACACGGTGTCTTTGATTTGCAGAAAGTATATTCTTTGAAGAAAGCAGTTTCAGTTTGCTGTGCTTAAATTATTTAACTTTTAAAAGCCTTCTAAAACTCATATTAATTGCGTAGAAATTCTTCATTCTTCATAATGAGGGAAGTCATATAGGGCTTATAAATGACTTGGAAATTAGCAGGAAAGATGAATGCTAAAAAAATCTCACTTATTTTGCGATTACAAATGATAGAATAGCATTTATGTTTTTCCTAAATACTAGTTGGCAATTCGCATCCTTTCATTTCAGTCCTAGGAGGAGTTTGTTTTAAATAAATCATAATTAATAGTAGATAAGACTCTATTACTTTCCTTCTTCGTTGGGACTATTCTGTTTGTCAAAATTGGTAGATTAATTCAGTGTCTGACTCATCCAGTCTATCAAGGCAATAGCTGCTATGAGCCAGGCTTCCTCTTACAATGGATTCAACTAGCAAGAAGCTTTTTACAAATTGTTATAGTAATTTGATCCTTTCTGTGACAAAATAATTAAACTTGCCAACTGTAGACTGCAGATACTGTCTTTCCATAGTACAATATTACAGATGACATAGAGGGATCCCATATTTAAGGTGCCTCAAACCAGTTCTCCATGTCTGTGGTTTTTAGTTTGTTGTTGAATTTTTGCTTGGTTTCTTTTATTTTTGTTTCCTGGGAAGTTTATCTGACTTCTGTACGTGCACAATGCAATTTTAAAAGTTGCTATGGTAATGGGTTTGTTTATTAAGCTGTGCAGTGTTTGAACTTGATGATGTTGTTTTTCAGAATTATTTCTTGAGCAATCATGTGGTTACAGTATGCCATCTTTTTTGGTATTCTTATGCCTCGCCGTACAAAAAGAGTATGAAGGATCACTTAATAGGCTTGATACATGCTATAGTTATGAAACAGCTTTTACTACTTCTGCACCATATATTTTAGAGCAGAGGATCCAATTTTGATTAACATATTTGAAGGTACGACATTTTTGTGTTATGTGTTGTATGAATTATGAACCTTCTTCCCTAAGTAGTTTGTTTTATTTTGAAGATTGTATTTGGAACAGAGTGACTTTCACGAGAAGTTTACTGGTGGGGATGTTTGTGTGGATAGATCCTCAGAGTCTGTGACCTGCCAGACTTTTGAACTGACACTGAGGTCTTGCCTTTATCCGCACATAGACAAGCAGTACTTGGCATGCTGTGGTAATCTGATGCAAACTTTAAAGAAGGATTATAGGTAAGAAAGTAGACTTGTTTTTCCTTAACACATTTTAAAATTACCAGTGGTATGGCAGTATGCTAAAAGCAAGAATTTTATGTTATGTTTCTACTCCAATTTGGTAATCAACAAGAAAATCATTAAGGAGGAAAGGGGGATCTAACATGATAGAATCCTGGGTGAAAACTTGGTCTAACTTAAATCAACAGCAAGGCTATCATTTGTCTTCAGTGAGAGTTCAGTGGGGAAATTGTTTCAAACAGTACTTTTAACAGTGTTCTCATTTGAAACTGGAAGACAAATTTTTGGAAGCCAGAACATATTTGTTTAATATAATATTCAGTTCTGATACTGTAAAATCAGACAAAAGACTATATTGCAATATTTTTATATTACCCAGAATGAAATGACCTGTTCCTTTTACCTTTCAAGTGGTCATAAGTTGTCATGTATTTAATCTGTCCAAATACTTAATGTATTTATAGCCACAGTTCTTGTGAGAGTTGGAGTGCTACTATTCTTCCTACTTCATCTGAGAAAAGGAAAATCTATATCCTAATTTTATGGGGCTTTGTATTAAAGTCTCTTAGACAGAACTCTCTCTGAGATTGCATCTTCTTCCCTAAGTTCTCTTCAGGAAGAGGGACAGGATTGCCAAACTCTAAGCTATTTCTGAAAATGGCTTAGCCCATAGGATAGCTGCATACCATGAGCATTTCCATTGAAGTTACTGGGGCTGTTCAAGCTTACAGGAAAAAATGGCATGGTTGTTTTGTTTTATTACAAGGTATGTGAAGGCTGTCTGAGGTTTAAGCAAAGAATTTGCTATAAGCTTTGTTAAGTTTGTGTTCAGTAGTGAGTTCGTAGTGAAGAGGTTTTTTGTTTCTGTTACAGTTGTGTTTGATTTCATGTCTATGGTTAAGACTGGGGAAATGTTCTGTGTTTGTTCCCTGTTTAGGCTTGTAGAATATTTGCAGGCAATGAGAAACTTTTTCTTACTTGAAGCTGGAGATACCATGTATGACTTCTATACATCTATTTTTGACAAAATTAGAGAAAAGGAAACTTGGCAGAATGTTGCTTTCTTAAATGTTCAACTTCAAGAAGCCGTTGGGCAACGCTATCCAGAGGACAGTTCAAGGTAAAATGCAAAATCCTGCAAAATACAGTCTAGCTGTGGTTCCTCCACACTTATCTATACTAATGTACTTAACTTGCATAGCGCAATACTAACGATTGTGTACTCATTAGAAGAATCTGATTTAATCAAGTTTTGAGCTGCTGTCATCTCTTCTACTCAAGTCAACCAGATTAGATCAGGCAGTTGGTATTTAGCAATAAGAAATAATAATTAAAAAAAAATTAAACTAACCACTAATTTAAAATGGATTATCACCAACTAAATCACTTGTTTCCTTGCATAGGTTGTCTATATCATTTGAAACTGTTGATACAGCAAAGAAGAAACTCCCTGTCCACACCTTAGATGGTTTGACATTGAGTTACAAGGTAGTGAGTTAATATTGCTGTAGTTCTTATTCTAGACCAGATCTGAAATGTTATGTTAAAGTGACTTACATTTTCAGTCTTGATTACCCTCTCCTCTTTTTAGGTTCCTTGGCCTGTGGATATAGTTATAAGCTTAGAGTGCCAAAAAATCTACAATCAAGTTTTTCTGCTCTTACTGCAAATCAAGTGGGCCAAGTATAGTCTAGATGTTTTACGATTTGATGGTAAGAAACTTCTGCAATGAAAAATACTCTAAATGCTTGTTCTGTGGTCTAAGGATATAAAGTCTGCTGCTTTCTGCAGTAAGTAGTACAAACCAGTGAGAATTTTGATTCATTCCATAAAATATTAATCTGGTTTTTTGCAAATTAGATACATTAAGCAGGGCATGTTTCACACTTCTTTTCAGCCTCAGAGACAACCCTCCTTTGTCTCTTTGATTCAGTTCTTAGTTACATTGGAAACTTTTTACTTTATTCTTCAGACCTTGCTGTTGAAAGAAACTGTCTACCACACCCTAATGTTTTGCTTTATTTGTAATCCAAGTTTTTATGAGTAATACCTCACAAACAACGTAAGAAAACAAGATGAAGAAATACTGTATTTGAGATTGAAACAGTAAGATATGTAGTTTGGAATACCTATTCTGAACTACAATTTAAATATTTGGGGATTGTAGAAAGAGATCTTTTGGTCTCCTTCACCAGGTTAATGTTTATACTTTTCCTGTCCCATGTGGATACACACTGCATGTCCTAGAAAAATAAATTAGAAAGTTGATGGGTTCATCTAAATTTTGTACATCAGTTAATTAACTCTTTTCCTAAAAGTATGTGGTTTTCTGTTGTTTAAACTTTATGGGTATAGCTTTGTGCTTAAGTCTTTTCTCCTTTGTGGAGATAGTATACACATTTGTTTTTAATGTAGGTGGGTTTTTTCTATCCTTTCACATAGTCTTTAGCTCTTAAATAGCATTTCCTATTCTAGTATTTATCAAATTGCGTTGTACATATACTATCGAACTATTCTGTATGTGGTTGCTGTATTTTAATAACACATCGGCATTGTGTGCAGAATAATAAGAAATAACAAATTTCAGTTTTAAGTAATGTTTTAGCTACAGTTTGTCTTCATAAGCACTTCGATGTAATACTCTTGCCTTTTCTTTTTAGAACTAGTCTGTGCTGCAGAAAGCCCACAGGTTAAGGAAGGAACTCTAGTAGAGCAAGGAACGCTTCCTCTATTTGGACCGCAAACAGAAAGTGTAAAACAACAAATACATCGCATGTTCCTCTTAAGAGTGAAACTTATGCATTTTGTTAACAGCCTGCACAACTACATCATGACTAGGGTTTGTCTTCTATCACAATTTCATTTATATTAAAAACTTGTAACTGGAGGGGCAGTATTGATTTTCTTATAAAACAACAACAAAAAAAGGGCAAAATCTAATCTTAGTCTAGTAACCTTCCTGCAAAATGATTTTGAGATAAACATGTTTCAGTTTTAACTTGGCAGTTTTAAATCAGTAATTCTGAAACTGCCTTAGACATTTTGCTATTACTAGTTCTTTTTGAGTGTTTCTCCCAGTGCTAGGTGACTGAAGCAGAGTCATGTAAAAATAGGTTTCTGTAAGCCCTTGCTTTCTTAAGAGATATTGTGCTTAGAAAAGTATTACTGCAGACATTTTAGTTAAATGGATCCTTCTCAAGGAACTCTAGTACGCAGATCCAAAAGTGTATACGTGACTTGGGAAATTTAAAGGCAGTGCCTGTAGATTCATATCTGCTCTGCTGTTGCCTTTTTTTGCCTTTAATAAAATTAATATACTCCAAGTCAGTTCCTCCAGGGATAGTCTCTCTGCTACTGTGCAGTGGCAGTATTCCTATTTATGTGAGGAATATCATTGTGCAGTTGTGAAAAGAGTTTGAATTTTTTGCTATTGATGGTATTTTGCTATTGATGGTCATTTGGAGGTTGAGCCTAATATTTGAGAGGGAAGAGTGAATGAATTAGGCAATTCTGCACTCTTAAAAAAAAAAAAAAAAAAAAAATAAAAAAAAATTGGAAGAGAGTTGTAAGCACTTGTGTGCAACATGGAATTTAAGAACTCTGGTCATCTTTTTAAGATTCTTCACAGTACAGGCTTGGAGTTTCAGCATCAGGTAGAAGAAGCCAAAGATTTAGATCAGTTGATAAAGATTCATTACAGATACCTATCTACAATCCATGATCGCTGCCTGTTGAGAGAAAAGGTGGGTAAAAAACCGGCGTATTTGATATATTGAGTTTAGCAGGACAAGAAAGTAGTTTAGTAGTAACTATGCTGTCTGTTTTGCAATTCATACATGCTAAGCGATATATAGGTACTCTTGAGGAAATGGTAGCTTTTCCAGCGTTAACATTGAGATCCAGTTTCTCTTACAAGTCTCTGCTCAATTCTGTCAAGGAGAGAAGATAAAATTAAATTCTTGATATTGGATGTTATGTGATTCGTTTGTTTCCATGAGATGGGAGGGTTTGAACAAACTGAGGCTTGGTAATGTGAGAGTTATACATACTGGTATGGCAGGAAATGGAGGTACATGGCTAGCATAGTAGCCTTTTATCCCACATACTCTCTGTGCATAGTCCTCATCAAAATAGTGAGCCTTTAAGTGAATTAGAGAGCAAATACAAAACACATCTAAAATTCGGAAGAATCACATTGTACTGAAGAGATTGTGTTTACAGATCGGTTTAAATGGCATGGGATACCTTTGTGTTGCAGCTTAGTAATGACAATTGTTATGCTTAACAATGAATTTCTGACTGTTGTTCCTGTTGTTTTAATTGTTATTTTAGGTGAGCTTTGTGAAAGAAGCTATAATGAAAGTGTTAAATTTAGTACTGATGTTTGCAGACCGTTGGCAGGCTGGTTTGGGGGCTTGGAAGTAAGTATACACGCCTAAAATTCTACATGGTTATAATTTCACAGCTCGGAATATGATTTCAAGATGTTTTTGTGTGAAATAACTGGATTTGCTCGATGTTTAACAGCATATACCAGCGGCTAATTGCTATTTCTTAGCAAAAGTTAGATTTATTTTAGACAGAACTTAACAAATTTCATGCACTTGTGTCAGTGAATGTTCAGTATTTTCTAATTAAAAAGGTGGCCAATACAGGACTTCTAAGTGTTCGAAAAGATCGTAGAGCGTAGCAGCAAAGAGTGTTTTCTTTTTCTTTGTATTTGTTCATAATGGTAAAATGAGAGGTTCACAGGTTTGGTTTATGATCGTGTTTCCTGGTGGTGATTTAAAATTATAGGCAGCTAGATGTTGACATTCATTAATTGGTTTATGAAAAGTGTAATTGTTTAGTTTGACTTTCATTCTAGAAGGCAATAGATTTTTATTTTATTTAAAAAAAAAAAAAATCTAAATCTAATCTCTAAACCTCCTTATTGTTCTAATCTGGAGTGTCCAAATTACAAAGCCTTGTAAAAAATCTGTGGTAAAAATGTAAAGCTGTTGAAGTCAACGAAAGTTCTGCCATTGACTTTGGTGTCAAGATTTTAGTGCAGAATGTTTGATTCCATTAGTTCAAATGCTCAGATTTTGTGTTATTGGTAATCTGAAGGTGTTTTTGGTCTGTCCTTTCCTATAGTACCTTTTCTGGAGAAACAACCTGGGGTGGGTGTCATAGTTGGGATTTTTAGAAAAGTGTGCTTCCTTATGCACTGTGATTGACGTTAGAAACCCACCTGTAATTTCCAAGATAAGATTAATGTGTTGGTCTGTGGATCAGTTTCTCTTCTCTAAGCCATCCCTTAGAGACAAGATTAAAAGAATCTGCTTTAATCGTGTTTTGACGCACCCCAGGGTGCGGTTTGCCCTCTGGGCTGCCGGGACACACTGCTGGCTCTTGTGGAACCTGCTGTCGACCAGCACCCCCAGATCCCTTTCTGCAGGGCTGCTCTCCAGCCGCGCCTCTCCCCCTTTGTACTTGTGCTTGTGTAACCTGCTGAAGGAGGAATGACAGTGGGCAAGCCTCCAAAGCTATGTCTAACGCTCAAGGGTTGATCTACAGCCCTGAGACCAGCTGCTGTGGGCTGGCTCACGTTCATCTTTTTCAGAACAGTTTCCCTTTTGCACAGGTGCTACCTAGCACTTGGATCCTGCTCTCCTGTGGCATTAGGAAGTTGCTATTTTTGGAGTGCTTTTCTGATTCGAAGTGTCAGAAATAATTTGTGAAGGTTGTTAATGACTGAAGCTCGGGGCATGTGGTTGCGTGCCCTTGGATGTGGGAGGAAAAAGTCATATCTGATGTAGTGTCATCCCTATCTTCTTGGGAGAGGGAGGAAAAAGGAGAGGAGTGACTATTGTGATCTACATCTTCTCCCTCCTCTGGTGAGCGCTAGCTGGCACAGTCCACAGTGGAATTCAGCAGCTGGCTGACAGTAAAGCGGTGTGGGTGTCCCTGTTTTATTTGGCAGTGTAGGTTTACCCCAAGATGCTCCGAAACAATAGGGACCAGGAATGGCTGTCTTGAAATATAAAGCTGTGTAGGAATACTGGTTGTCAGTTGGAACAACAAAGTTCCTCGTAGTCAGTGCAGAGATTTCTAAGATGATGAGGAAATTATTCATGCCATCTGAGCACGTGCATAGTGCTCAGATGCTTCTGTCAAAATTGCCTTTGTTTTCTAGAAGTAGTATACACAGACATAACTGAAATACTGTAAGTTCAAGCCAGAATGCCGTGCAAGGAGTACTTTGTCACTTACTGTGAAGTTTTGGTCATATTTTGAAGATAACGTAGTGGCTAATCTGTTAAGCATTCCTCTGTTAAACTGTTTTGTAGGATGGAATCCATAGAGAAGATGGAATCTGATTTTAAAAACTGTCACATGTTTCTTGTAACTGTTCTCAACAAAGCTGTCTGTCGAGGCTCTTTTCCTCACTGTAAGTACATGAGGCTTTTCACATACCTGCACTTACTGGGACACAAGCTTTACTAGGAATGCATTTATGTTTTAATCAGAGAATGGTTTGGGTTGGGAGGGACCTTACAGACCACCTAGTTCCAACCCCCCTGCCATGGGCAGGGACACCTTCCACCAGACCAGGTTGCTCAAAGCCCCATCCGACCTGGCCTTGAGCACTGCCAGGGAGGGGGCAGCCACATCTTTAAACAAATACATATCTTTATATATCTTTAAACTATAAACAGTTTACCTGTTTTCTTGAGGAGGGGATGCTGATGTAGCCAAGCAAGTGACAAGCAGTTTTCTAAACAAATGAATGAAACTTAAGTTCTGGAGGGTGTAGAAGAGCATTCTTTTTGTCGTTGTTGGATGACAGCTGTGATATATCTTGAACAGCTGAAACTTTAGTATTATGGTGCCTCAGCTGCAGCTGCATCGAGCTCTTGGCTCTGCCCATCTATTGGAAGTTACTTCCTCTGTACCAGAAACAGCAGAAGACAACATGTAGCCTGTAGAAGGCTACTTGCAGCCTGATACTGGCTTAAATTGCTGATCAGTGTCAGTTTGAGTTAGGGGGGCAACTGCTGAATGGGGCCAGCTGGGATGTAGGTGCATGTTCTAACAGGTTTCTACACCGTGTGTAGATGTGGTGCTTAGGGACATGGTTAGTGGTGGACTTGGCAGCAGTAGGTTAGAGGTTGGACTTGGTGATTTTAAAGGTCTTTTCCAACCTAAACGGTTCTGTGATTCTAAAGAAGGTAGTATCTGATGTCACTGCTACTCAGTCCACCAGAGCTTGTCTGCAGGAACCCTCTGTGAGAGTGGCTTACTGCATCTAACCCCCCCACAATGTTTATTCATTTTTTTGTGTGTATGGGTACAGCAGTTAGTATTTCAAACAAACAAGGTAATTTCTTACCCATGCTTGCCACCTGAAATAACTAATGGGTAAATGATGGTGAATTATTGTCTATAAACTGTCAGAGATTAATAAAATGTCTTACTGTCTTAAATCCTTCAGTGTTACAGTTTAAAAAATGAACTCTATCTTCCTTTTGAACTGTAGAATTGAATATTGTGATAAATATTTGCAGACTGCTGCAAATGCAAATATTAACTACTTTTTTATGGTTTGGTTTGCAGTGGAATCTTTAGCTTTGTCACTGATGGCTGGCATGGAACAAAGTTAACACCCGAGTCCATTGAATTAATAAAGAACAAAGCAGCGTTATGTTGAGATTCCCTTGTTAAAAAGCTGTAACCATTTTATACTCCAGTTTGAAATATGTACAGCTAAAGCAGCTGATGGTTTGGAGCTCTGTAAAATATTTTTTAAAGGAAATAATGTACAGGTGTTTAAGTGTATTGGTCATGGCAGTATTTTTCTTTATATGTATATGCTTCAACATCAAAAAACATGTACAGTGTAAAATTCATCCTGTATAAACAGTCTTACAAATACACTTAAAATGTATTTCATGCTGTAAAAGGATTTTTTTGTTTGTTTAATTATGAATAATTGCTGATTTACTTTTTCCGTGAATTTTGCAGCTGTGAATAGGTCACAGGGCAGTGTGGGGTGGTGTGACTCAATTCTTATTAATCAAAAGGTTGGTTGAGTTAATTTTTTGGTCCCTTTTCCTTTGAAAAAAGGCTAAGAAGCATTCTTCTTATTTGCTTAATGGTTCTTAAGGACTCTTTGGGAGCAGTTATGACTGTTACAATAAGCTGATGTAAAAAATACAAGATTAACTTATCCAAATGGATTATTGCAGACCATAAAATACCAGTATTTTTATGTTAAATGGTCAAATGCTTACTAATTTTGGGGGTAACTCTTCTCGGTTTAAGTAGGATCAAGATCGTGGTGTGTGATGTTGATTTTTGCATTGGATTGTTGGGACGTTTCGGAGGTGGTCAGGTATGACTTGCCCGTTCTGCTCCTCCTAACCCTTCTGCAAACAAAGCTAACATCTAACAGGTGATCTCCTGTAAAGCAGTAAATTGTAACACAGAAGGGTACATTTCTGGAGAAGTAAATGTGGAACGTGTTCTGCACAAGATGACGTGCCCTGTCTCCTCCCCATGAAAGTTTCTCTGTGATTCTGGCATCAGTACACTTGCATTTCAAAGAGAAAAATCGGTCATAGCCATTTACCTATTTATTTATTTATTTATTTGAATAAATAAAAGATGTAATAATTGGAATTTCACCGTTGTTGGTGTTTCTGCTGAAATCCAGTCAGTGACTTAGCAAATTTGAGGGCTGTTTCTGCAAGGTAAATGAAATTTATTATTACCAACTGTGAGACTCTGTGGCTCGCATCATAAAACTATTTTTTTTTCAGCTGTGAACTAATAATTACTTCATATGAAAATGGGTATTGGAGTTCTTGTTTGAACAGGAGATCTCAAAGGCTTCTTCCAAGTTGTAGCCATAAAATGTTCTCGGGGGAAACAATTTTTTTAAAATTTATAACACTGGGAAACTTTCTGCTGCCCCGTAGCATGTTCTTTCTTGGTTTTACTTTAGAGAACATTATGGTTTTTATTATCCGCTGTTACCACATGACACGCTTTTCCAAGTGGGTGTTTTTTTGTGGTAGGTGGACACACCTGTTAGCACAAATAATTTGTACTTCCAGTTTACCATGACTGGCTCTCATTTGAGAGTCCGTGTTATTTATTGCACGCGGAGACAGCGTATGTTCTTTATTAACTGGTTCGGCCCACTCAGGGTAAAACTGAATAGCATACTGGTAGTTTTAAAGGGCATACTTGTACTAGGGAGTTCAGCACTTGTGTGCTCAGGTTCATTACTTCCTGAGCGTATGTATGGCTTGTGCTCTGTGCTTTTAAAAAAAGTCTAACAAGTGGTTGCTTTGTTTCTCCTTTCTATATGGTGGTTGCCTTCAGTGAAATTACTGCTTTTCACAGACTTACCTTGGATAATACTAGCTAGATACGGGAGAGAAAGTCCTTCAATCCTTTGTGTGGTTGGAACAATAATTCCTAGTAAACCCCTATGTGGATTTTACTTATTTTATTTGAAAGACCCCATGCAAGTGAAAGGTTTTGCTCTTTCACCCAGTTTCCTGCTTAGGATTAAGCTTGCATTCTGCAGAGAGACTTCTGTGTGCTTTGGAGGTGGGAAGTGCCTGCATGCCATTTTTCAGCCAACTTCCAATATTTGTTTGCTCTTCTGTGGTCTTGAAAGCACAGTGGAAAATCTATCTCTGGCAATATTGGCTCATTCTAGTCACGGACGTGCGCCGTGCTTCGCTTTTTGTGTGTCAGTAATACTCGGCTGACAGATTCCCTTAAATGAGCCCATCTTACGACATCCCTTTCTCTTTCTTTAGAGCCACAGGAAAAAAAAGTCCTTTATTTTAGTGTGTGTGCCCTGCGATGCCACCAGGACCTTTTCATCAGTCCCTTGGCAGTAGTCAGAATGGCTATTTACCTGTTTGGAAAGAAGGCAGCTTTTAGTGAGGTTTGGGGGTGTTGTAGCTATTTATTTGCTCAAATTTCCTTGTAGCACTTTCAGATTTCTTTACAGAGTGATGGTGTTACTTGGATTCTGTCCTGGATCCGTTCCTTCTGGACACTATGTGACCCTGTTTCCGAATTCCTGTTTTTATCTGTTTATCTCTGAATTGATTTGGATCTTAACTTTTAGATACTCTTCCTCTTTGGAGGAGAACTAGCGTTTGTGTATGCTTTATGTGCACTTCTGGGATTTCAAGGAAGCAATTGCAGAGGTGTTGGGGAAATGAGGCCTAGTCTACTGCATGTGTGTATAGATTTAAGGGGGTTCTGTGATAGACATATTGTCATATTGTTTTGTAAATTCTCAAGTCTAGCTAAAGGAAAACAAAAAAAGAAAAAAATACCCAGCAAAGCATGTAGAAACTGAACTTTCTAAGCTTCGAAGGGGGTATCTTCGAACTTAAAACAGTCTTTTTAAAAAAGCCCACTAGGTGGCAGATTTTAAAAGGCTAAGGGAATTTTTTTTATTCGTTGATCTCTTTCTGGGCTCGTGGCTGTTGCTTTCATAAGGTCGAAAGGCTAATCTGTTTTTAAATGAGAAAAGGCATGTGTTTTCCCCTAAATATGTCTGATCTAAAAAGTATACAATAAGAAAATAATTATTTTGGAGTTTAAAAAAACCACAACCATTCTTGATTATGGAGAAGAAGCTTTAATCCATTATTGAAGGAGAAGAAACATAATCTGGTTTATAGTTGTAGCTGGATTGCTCTGGTCCTAGAGAACTTGAAACTAGAAAGAGAAGAAACTGGTTAGATCCTGGTCTCGAACTTGTTCTTATGCTTTAGACTAAGGCACAGAAAGGCCTGCTTGCGTTTTTGAAACATGAGAATAAGTGCTTAAATGATGTACAAGGGAGAAGTGAATGGCTCTAGAAAGCGGAACTGATATGAGTGGAACAGCAAGCATGGATTTGGGTGCTTAAAAGTCAGGACTTGGTTAGGTGGTGTTCAGAGAAGATTGTAGTATTAATGGTAAGGTGTTATGTCTGATGTCTAAAACTCTTTGGAAAAGAACACACTGCATTATTGGGTGCTGTCACAGTTTCGTCTGTACTTCATTTCCACCTTTATTTGTTCTCTTTCACTTCTGGATTAAGAAAAGTTGCAGCACAGAAGCCCTTATCTAGGTGGCTCAGTACTTTTCTTCATTTTATTTTTCTTTCTTGTGGGCTTCTGTAATCTCTAGGGCACATTTTACCACAGATTTAGTGACTTCTCTAATGCTTTCTCCACTGTTTAGCTTTAATAACCCCTAATTAACCACTAGGTCCTTGGGGACCTTTGCTTGTGTCAAGATGTTGATATCAAAAAAGTTAGCAACCAGTTGTTGATTGCATGGTTTCCGTGGTAGCATGGATTAAAGATAGCATCTCTAAATTGCAGGCTGATTAAAAACATTAAAAAAATCCCTCTGACGTGCTTTTTGATCTTATTAACTGTAGAGATTTACAAATATTCCACCTTTCCTCCTAAACTGTTTTGCACACTTACAGAGAAACCTTTCCTCACTGATACGGTTCCTATTTATTGGATTGTGCAGCAGCTTGTTGCTGCACTGTGTGTTTATTACTGGGAAGGCTGTAGGGGTTCACAGGTCTTGGGGCCTAGACGGCGAATAAAGTTACCAGCGTTGGAGGGCAGGGCTGGGGTGAAGAGCGGGTGGCATGAGTTGACTAGCACACGTGCCCCGGTTTCTGTACTGATGTCCTGTAGGAGCAAAAGGAATGCAATTTATAACAGAATCAAGAAGGGATTTAATGCTCGTTCATGTCTGTCAGGGAGTTGGTGGGTGGACTCTGGCGTGGTTGGCAGCACAGCGCGCAGCGTTCTTGGAAATCAGAGTGGGGGGACGTGGGCCCGTTATGCAGGTGAAGAGTTAAATCCCTCTGAGTTAGCAACAGAACTTCTGTCTAGCATTTCAGGGCTGGAAAGCAGAATTAGGAAACCCTGCTTGCCCAGATCCGTGTGAGGTAGTTGCACTCAGCACTAGGGGGGAAATCGGAGCCAGAGAACTGCCCGTGCCGTCATGTGCTAGTGGGTATGTATGCACGTGCAGCGGGCTTGCTGCTGTCGGCTGTGCTCCTGGCGGCACACCTGCTCTCGGTGGTAGGAATCTGGCTTTTCCTGGAGTTAGAGGTACGTGTGGGTGACCAGATCGCGCCACATTTTCATAAGGCCTTGTAAAGCAGAGAGCTGCTGGCTGTGGCGATGGTAGGAGTTACGTCTTCAGGCCGCTGGCCGGGCTCCCTGCCGTGGGCAGGTTCTCACTTGGCTGAGCTGGCTGCTCTTTGAGACCTCTGAGACAGTTGCTGCTTTCTGTTTTGGTCTCTTCTGCTTGCGCTCTCCCGAGCGCTGTGCCTTTTCTGTAGGTGCCTGTCTCCCCTGCTGACAGCTGAAACAACGGGTTTGCTCTGTGTCGCGTGGAAGCATACAGTATTTTCGTAGCCTTGCTGTGCTTTAAACCCTTTGCCGTGCTTGACGCAAAATGAAGTCTGTGCTGACCTGTGTGAAAAATCTTGTCCAGTCCTTGGACAGGTGGCTGATAAATGTCCAAGGTATCTATACTGATGTATAGACAATTACCTGTTTTCTTCCTTTGTAGGTTTGCCTGATGTCCTGTTCTTGGGGTCACTGGGGCCATTGCCCATCGTGGCTTCATAAATACCTTTCTGTGTCAGGTCATGACAGTTTCCTGTGATGTCTTACCTTCTTTCTGAGGATGAAAAGGTCTCTGTGGACTTAGCAGGTTAAAAACAAAAAAAATTAATAGCTAGATATGCTGTTAAGCTTAATGGCTAAAATATCTGAGTGAAAAGGTGCAAAACCAGAGAGTACATCAGTGTCTTGGACATAGCAGATACCATGTAGCACAACCACAAGATTCCTGTTGAAGCTGTTTGGCTCCTGTGGAATGGAGCTCTTCTGTG